AACCCTCCGTTCTAAATTAGCCCAGATACTGAATCAGAAGCATATATAGCAGTGTACCCATTTTCCCATTTACTTGGAGAACCAAAAGTACTTTCTAATCATAAATTATTTAATGAGGCCAGGTCCTATCATTATTGCTAAAACAGGGAAATCTCTTCCAGATATGCATCTTCTTGAGGGGGTAAGAGAGAAGAACCATGGAATATGTTTGGAAATAGAGCCTTGGAAGTCCTTCAGCCACAGAGGATGTGCTTGGGGCAAAATGTGCAAAAAAAAAAAAAAATCTCGAACAAGAAGAAACTGTTTGTCCTTTGAGGTGTGTTTAATTGGGCCATTAATACCTAGCAAGGCGCAGTGGAGGCATATGCATTTCAACCTCTGCTCACACTCTGGGCATAGTAGGCAAATCTTAATGACCTCATAAAACACACCCAATTGTCTCTTATTCCTTAATTAACATCTTGTAAAGTTGACAATATGATTATGATTGAATGGAACCAGAAATAGACTCTTTTATCAGCACACACCAGGGCTTCCTGATGAAAACTTAAGGGAGAGTATGGATACAAAGAGGGCTGGATGGAAAAAAAAAAACAAAAAACCACATGAAGACATGTAAAAATGTATTTTTTCAGGAGTACCTTTAAATTTAAAAAAAAAAAAGAGAACAAAGCAACACTGAATGAATGCTGTCAAGGGGATAGGAATCTTAGCCTGCCCATTCCTTTATCAGCTTTTCTCTCCTTAGCACAGCCTAGCTGTGTATGGAACTCAAAGGAAGAGCAGGTAGTACCAAATGCCAGACACAATTTTACCTAGTTAGTATTCTCTCATTTAATCCTGGTGACAACAGAAGAGGTAACTGAAGCATAGAAAGGGAAAGTAACTTGCAGAAGGTCACCAAACTGGTAAATTCAGTGTGTTACAAGCCTGCAATTCTGATTTTATAGTTGTGCTTTGCACCAATACCCCATGCTCTCTTCTCCTCTGCTAGACTCTTAGAGCAATGCTGCTAAATTTAGGGTCCAAAGACAAATTTTCAGGGGCCTCCCTGGTGGCACAGTGGTTAAAGTCTCAGCACTATCAAGTTATGGCCAACCACTGAAGCCAGAGTTCGATCCAGGGAGCTAACACACATGGCGCAGCAGACCTCTCCTGTCTTGCTTGCTGCTCCCCTTAGCAGTGTATTTCAGTAGATCTACCTGTTATACTCCCCACTCTTTTTCTGGTGAATTCTCTCACCCCCTGTACCTCTAGCCCACACCCCAGTTCTTGTATGCATAAATAAATAAAAATAAATCTTTAAACAAACAACAAAGACCCTGGAGTTCTGAGAATAACATTTTTGGTAATTTTACTATTTCTGATAATCTAAAAAATTAACATAAACATGTTTTGGGAATCACATTATAACTGGGTATGGGCTTGTGCTGAACTTCTGTTTGCTATGCACTGTTTTGCCTTCCATAGTCATTTCCTTATGGAGCAACAGATTTAGTGATTCTCATTATGTGCTGCTAAGAGTCTGTCTTATGACATAATACCCCATCGAAGGGAGACAATCTCTGAATATAGTTTGTTCCCCTGGCTTACATCTCTTTTAGGCCTTTTTCCTTTTTTCCATTGGCAATTCTTAATCTATTTACAGTGTAGGAAAAGCAGAGGCACAATTTTCTTTACTTCCAAACCTTAATTATCTGTATTCCTACAATTAGGAAGTCACCTGGGTCATTACTACTCAGAAGATTAGTCTCCCTTCAAAAATCCCTTCCTTCTTAATTCTAGAGTCTATCACCTTCACTGGTATCTTGTTTGCTGATGCCCAGGGGAAGAAACACAGATTGATTGCAAAGTATAGTCACTGATAATGCAAAGGATGCTGTGTTTCATTTAATTGAGCAAAATGACAGACAGCTGCTAATTCCATTTCTTGATATAAATCATTTAGGATAATAAAGCATGGTAAAGTAAAGGTGAGTGCCATGGTCTGAATGTGTCCCCTGGAAAGTCTAATGTTGAAATCCTAATGCCCCAGGAGAAAGCAGTAGAAAGTGGAGTACTTTGGGAGGTGTTAGGTCATGAAAGTGGAGCCCCCAAGATGAGACCTTATAAAGGAGGCCCAAGAGAATTCCCTTTGGCTTTACCCAGGAAAGAATACAGAAGTTCTGTAGTTTGCAATGTGACCCAACCATATTGGTACCCTGATCTTGGACTTCCAGCCTCTAGAAATGTGAAAAATATATTTTCACTATTTATAACTCACCCAGTGGTGGTATTTTTTTTTTTAAATAGTAGCCCAAAGGGACTAAGCCAATAAGGAAACAAATAGAAATTGTCTTTGTTTTTAGAATGACTTATGAACTGACAAACTATCTTAAATTTTTCAATCCCACCAGTATTTTTCAAATGGATCAAGTACTCTTTGACAACCAGAGCTAACCAACAGATGAATACCTGGATAAAAAAGAAAGGAGGAAAGAAATGGAAAGAAAAAGAGGAAGTAGCCTATTTATCCAGGTATTTTAGATAAACAGTAGAGATGGGGATGGCACTGATTACTCTTCCCCTGTGAAATCCAACTCTGGGTTTCAAGATAGAAAGTTCTTACTATCTGGACATTCTGCCTCAGGATAACATGAAATTCTAATGAACTCCATTGAACTAAGACTAATTTGTGGTCATCTCATTAAATAACTACAACTAAAGACAAAGAAAGAATATTGGGGAGAGCAAAGGGAAAGGTTAGCCATGAGAGGTCACAGGGAAGGTACAGAAAACAAGGGTAAGACTTATGCAGAGGTAAGTTGCTGCCACCTCCATTGATCAGAGTTAGATTTTGTCTTCCCATGAAGAGTTAAAGATTTTAAGTTTTCTTGGTACAGAAAGGAAGACATCATTTCTTTATACTTATAGAAGTCTTTTATAAAGGGGCAACCTCCACCCAGCTTTCAGAATTGTGAAATAATCCTGTGGTGAGGACACTTATTTTGGGAGTGTAGATGCTGGTTCAAAGGAGGGACATCCCCCCTTCCCACCCCAGATCTCATCTGGGGATTTGCATCCCTCAGTTCTGCTTATCTGAGCAAAGCTTGATTTCTATCAGTTTCTCTCTGGTAAGGCTGGATGGTGAAGTGAATTGCAGTGGTGGTGGGGGGTATGCTAAGCCAGTGTTCACTCACTTATTAATAATAATGGTAGTGATGGTAATAATGGTAAAAATGATGGTAAACAGTACCATCATTTGTACTATAATCAGATGGGAGAGAACTGATCAGCACTGAGAAAAATCAGTGCATTTTTTTCTCTATTTCCAAGCCAGCTATATTGTTACATATTGCATTTATTGCAGCCAATGAAGTCATTAGTACTTTGAGCTGAATTCAGCCTGCTGACATGAACTAGAATAGAGTAATAGCAACGGTGATGTAGTGTGAAGCAGTGGTTTTGAAATGCTACCAGGAGGCAATTTTTCTTGTGACCTGAGATCTTGAGTAACCTCTTCCAACCCTCCCGCCCCCATTATTTTTTTTTTTTTTTTTTAAATAGAGGCATGCTTTATTTATTTATTTTACTTGTTTGTTTGTTTGTTTATACATGCACTGGGTACAGTCAGAAGTGCGGGAGGGTGAGAGAATTCACCAGAGCCAGAGCGGGGTGCAGAGCAGGCAGAAGGACCGAAGTACACTGCTGAGGGGAGCAGCGGGCGGCAGGAGAGGTCTGCGCGCCATGTGGGACCCTCCTCCGGTGGCCGGGGAGCAGCCGGGGATCGAACCGGCGCCGCAGAGGTCACGGGCAGCTTCGCAACCCAGCGCTCAACCGCTGCGCCACCGGGGAGGCCCCCGCCCCCATTATTGAGATAAAGTTGACACATAGCATTGTATTAAGATAGACAAGATAATGATTTTATATATATATAACAAAATGATTACCACAGAAAGTTTAGTTAACATCAGTTGTCTCAGTCAAAAATTTCTGTCCTTGTGATGAGAACTTTTAAGATCTACTCTCTTTGCAACTTCAAATATAAAATTCAGTATTGTTTACTATTTGCCATGCTTTACATTATGCCCCCAGAACTTATAACTGAATGTTTGTATCTTTTGACCACTATCATTCATTTCCCCCTCTTTCCTTCCCACCTCTGGCATGTTCTTTGATCTATGTATCTGTGAGGTTTTGTTTTGTTTTGTTTTTTCCAGATCCCACTTTCTATTATATGTTCCTCAAGGGACTCAGCAATACTCAAGCATATCCCACGAAGCTTTAACTACTCAAATTAGTGATGATAGGAGAAAATGCAGAGAAGGGAAGAATGAGAGAGTTAAGTGGAGTAACGGGGAAGAAAAGAATGGAAGGAATGCTCTGGTAAATTTGAACATAAGTTTCATAAGGGAGCTCTACCTATAACATGGAGATTAATGCCTGGCACAAAAACGGAGACTCAGTAAACAACTGTTGAACAAATTATGGAATTGCGGTGCTACTGTAGTGTGAATGCTTCAGTGAATGGCAACTGAGGAAGTACACCCCTTTGATCTCCCTTTAGAAAGGATTTATCATTCATTTGTAGAAGAAGTTACCTCCATCGGGTAACACCTTTAGCCTCTGCTTCCACTTTTAAGCTTAAGTCACGCCCTTGTCAATGACAGGACATTGAGTGGCGGGTTGTTACTATAACCACTCTGCTACATTACTGCCCAACGTGGTCCTCTTTAAAGGGAACTGCGCTGGAGCTAGCTCTCCGTAGGACGGCCAAGAACCTCGTCGGACGCCCATCACCGCCTGAAGCTTCTGGAATGTATTTGGGATGGGTGCTGCCGTAATATAAATCTGGGGGGAAAAAAAGTGCACATCATCTAGCCCCAAACTCCGTCCACAATCTTGCCCAGAGACACTTCAGAAGAATTGCCTTAACGAGGGAGGAAAAACGAGCAAGGGGCGGGGCGAAGTGAGTGAGGTCATCTTAGGGCGCCGCAAGGCGCAGGCAGAGCCGGCGCGTCACTGACGTCACCGTCGCCCCACTGCTTTCCGGGAGACCGAAGTAGAAGGCCAGCGAGGTATTATTCAAGTTGGGGCTTGAGTTTTCCTGATGCTCCTGTATGGGTCTGCTTCTCCTATCCCGGGATCTCCATTCATGTCCGCTGATTGGTGGCCTTTTTTCGTGAATGGGGGCACTCTCACCCGGGCGTTGGGGGTAGCACAATTGCAGGACCCTCCACTTCCGCTTGTCCAGTAGCTGCTGGCGTGCTTTGGCTCTCCGTGGCACTTAACGTCTCTCTCTTGGTCTGGCCGTTTGCTTTTTCTTCCTCCCTTAGCTCCGCCTCGCAAATATCGGAAAGCGGAGAAATTAAAAACACATGACTTCACAATTTTCGATTGCCTTCAGACGTTTGGTGAAGGTGTGGGGAGTTACTTTCCTGGAGCATCCATGTTTATGGTTTAGGTCCTTGATCACGAGCTGCCTGCAGTTGCAGTTTTAGTTCACGGGAGATGGTAGGCTAATTTCGACCTTCAGTGGAAATCTGTAATGGATAATCTGAAGAAAGGGGTTTTCTTTGTAGCCTTGCCAAGTTCAGCGTGACCTTTTTAAATGTATTTTAAGATTTTAAATCTTCCGGCTTGTTGATTGTAATTCAGTTTTGGCTTGATAAAGATGTCTCTGCTCGAATAACATGTTTGCTACCTACTTATTAACCTATTTGGACTTTCTGATAGTAGACTGAATCGGGACGTCATCGTAATTTGATATAATTATTCATCTGAATCTCCAGCAACTGCTTTGAAATTTATCTCTTTTCCCATTACTAGACTTTGGGAAAACTTGTCTTAGAGGTAATTATTTTTAAAAGAAGGAAGTCTTCTGAAGACTGTAGGAGAATTATAGGTGACACTAACATGGACTGTATGCCAAAGACAGTAATATTTATTACACAGCAGTACTAAATGTTGTGTGTACATTTCACTTTTTAATGCAGTGCAAAAACATCCATATGGTAACAGAATATTGAAGCAACACCTGCAGATAGACACTGTAGCTGCAAAAAAAAATTTGTATTGGACTTATTCTCTTGGTTCACAAGTGTACTGTGCATAGGGATAGAAATAGCCCCTGAATGTACATTATATTTATATGTATTTTGGATCCATGTGTTGACTCCCAATATGACTAAGTCCAAACTCTGACATTAAGATTCTCTAAAAATTGGTTCCAGTTTATTTTCATTGGTTTTAGTCAGTTAACAAAAATGTGGCTGGACATTGTTACATGGAGGTACAAATGTCATGCAACATGAGTCCTGTCTGGAAGGAATAGCCTAGTGGGTAAATAACCATTGGAAAGTTCTGAGAATGACATGATCTGACATCAGTGTTCAACACTTATGTCTAGCTCCTGTGTAAAAGATTTTTGGAGAGTAGAGTAGGTGAAAACAAGGAGACTAATTAGGAAGGTGTTGTAGTAGTTCATGTGAAATGATACTTGTTAACAGGGTGAAAAGAAGTGAATGTAGTGAGCAATTCAATTTTGGATATATGTAATAAAAGGTAAAACCAAAGAATTTGTTTATGGATTGAATGTGGATTGTGAGAGTAAAGTAATTGTCAAGGTTTTCAGTTTGAAGAACTGAAAGGGTGGAGTTGCCATTAATTGGAGATGGAGAACTTGGGGAAGATTAGGAGTTCAGTTATGATGTGTTAAGTCTGAGTTGTCTGTTAGCCATCCAGTGGACATGTTGAGCAGGCAGTTGAGTCTACGAAGTTTGGAGTTCAGGGGGGTGGTGGTTGCTGGAAAAGAACATCTGGGAGTTTGCCTTGAACAGATGGGAGACTAGAGACAGCCATTAAAGGAGTGATGTAAACAAAGAAGAGAAGGCCTGAATTCTTAGATCATTTTGCACTTACTGACTTGGGAGATGAGGAAAAACTAGCAAAGGAGACACAATGAGCAGCCTGCCAGGGACAAGGACAGTTTTGAGAGTCTAGTGTTGTGGAATTAAGAGCGCAGTAGTATATTCAATTGTGTCAAATGCAGCTGATGGGACAAGTAAAATGAGGATTGATACTTTTGAATTTACCCATATACAGAAGGAGTATTATAGATACTAAGTCCAGAAGCCCTTAGGAGCAAAGAGGAAAAAGAGATTACCTTTTCAGGGGAGGTGTGGAAGCCTTTATAGAGGAGGGGCCTTTGATAGTTTGAAGGGATTAATTACTAGGCCCAAAGTTAGGAGGAGAATATAGGGAGGGGACATCCCAAGCAGAAGAAAAGACCTCACTTCTCTCTCTTTCTTTCCTTCCTTCCTTCCCTCCTCCACCTTCCCCTCCCCTCCCCTCCCCTCCCCTCCCCTCCCCTCCCTCCCCTCCCCTTCCCACCTTCCCTTCTTCCCTCCCTTCCTTCTCTACTTCCCTTCCCTCCCCTCCCTTCCTTCCTCCCTCCCCTTCCCTTCCTTCCTCCCTCCCCTTCCCTTGCTTCCCTCCCTCCCTCCCTCCCCTCCTTCCCTCCCTCCCTCCCTCTCTTCCTTCCTTCCTCCCTCCTTCCCTTCCCTCTCCCTCTCCCCCTCTCCCTTCCCCCTCCCTCCCCCTCTCCTTCCTCCCTCCCTCCCTTTTTTCCAAAGATTTATTTATGCATGTAAGAGCTGGGGTGTGGCCAGAGGTGTTGGAGGTAGGGTCTGTGAGAGAGGATTCACCAGAGATGGAGTGGGGAGCAGAACAGGCAGATCTGCTGAAATACACTGCAGAGGGGAGCAGCAGGTAAGACAGGAGAGGTCTGCTGCACCATGTGGGTCAGCAACCTGGCCAGGGATGGAACTCTGTTGCAGTGGCTGCCGATAGCTTCATAGTGCTGAGACTTAACCCCTTGCGCCACCATGGAGGCCCTGCTTGTCTCCTTTGAAGGACATAGCTCCCAATCAGCTGTTTTAAAGATGCTCTTACAAGTTCTTTTTCCTTCCTGTATCCACTAACCAGTTCCTGGTAACCATTTTTTCTCCAGGCCTGCTGAACGCTGCTAAAGAAATGTACAGAAGACAAATTAATGCTGCACAACTCCACTGGGCCCTCTCTTAGTTGCCTGACAATTCCTTTATTTAACCTTGACTCTTTTTACATCTCACACTCCACAGTCAGTGAATGACATTTACTAAGCATATTTATTTAGCATCTATGACATATTGCCCTGTTACTTAAAATACAATAGTGAGCAAAAATTTTCCTGCCCCATACTTACAGTCTAGAATTAATCAAATAGTAACACAAACATAAAATTACAATGATGATGTGGATAAATTTATGGTGTTAAGAGACTGTATGACTAATGTATATGACAGTCTGAGGAGGAAAAGGGAATGCTTTCTTGAGAAAGCATTTTTTATGTGGGAACTGAGTTAATTGGTTATGTGGGTTAAAAAAAGGTCAAAAACACAAACCAAAACAAAAGAGTGGTGGGGTGGAGAGGAGTCCTCATGAGTCTAGGAAGAGTTTCCAGGGAGAAAATTGAAATCAGAGAGACTTTATTTAGTACTATGAGAATAGGGTGAAAATGTTCTCACGGTGGCTATAAAATTTGGATATAGGGAAAGGAATCTATTCATAGGATGCGTTGAATATCATAGAGCTAAACAATATAGGGTTGATTATAGCTGCTTTGTAGGGGGAAATGACATTTTATCTGGCATCTTTGTTGTCAAATGACAAAAATAAAACATTTAGTAATGAATTTGATGTCCTTCAATTTCCTGAGGGATGTTTGGACAAGAGCTTATTATAGAGGATGGAAGTGGCATTGCTGAAACAAGTTATGATTACCTAGGAGGTCAGGGATTTCCATATTAAGAGTAGCAGGTTTTATTTTCTAGGGTAAGGTAGGCTAGCTGAAGCCAGGTTGGAGGATTGTGATTGGTGTATGTTAGGTTTCTTTCCCAGGCCACTGGAGATGCGTCCTTTTTGTGGGTACCCATATACAAATTACCTTTGTCATTGGGAATTTCAAAATTTCAGATAATTAAAATTTTACTTACATATTATTATAATGTTATATATTCTTGTTAAAAAAATAATAATTATGAGAACTTAACATAAATTGTGCTTCCTTACCTGCCTACTTTTCCTTTCCCAGAAGTAACCATAGTTAACTTCTATTGTATCTATTAAGAAAACTACATGCATGTACAATTATACCTCCACACTCACATATTTGTATTTAACAATATATACAAATGCGCTGTATTTTATGTTTTTCAGCTTTGTTCATTTATATCTAAACTTTATTTCATACTTTTACTGTTGAAGAGTAGTTTTTTGAATGAGCATCCTACAGTTGATTTAACTAGCCTTTGTTGTTCCCTGCTTCAGAGCTTCATTTTTGATTTTTAAAAAGATTTATTTTTCTTTATTTATGTATACAAGAACTGGGGTGTAGTCCAGAGGTGCAGGGTCGGGGATGGTGGGAGAGCATTCACCAGAGACAGAGTGGGGAGCAGAAGAGGTGGATCTACTGAAATACAAAGCTGAGGGGAGCAGCAGGCAAGACAGGAGAGGTCTGCTGCGCCACATGGATTAACTCCCTGGCTTGAGGTAGAACTCAAGCTGCAGTGCCACCGTGGCTAGTGATAGCCTGATAACGCTGAGACTTTAACCCCTGAGCCACCAAGGAGACCCTGGAGTTTCAGTGTTTTAAAGAGTGTTTCAGTGGGTGTTCTTCAACATTATCTTGTGTGAAAATAAGCATTTTGAGAACAAAAGTTGCTGGGTCAGGAAATTTGTACATATACAAATTTGAAAGTATAGTGCAGATTGCTTCAAAAGTGCTCAGTTTACACTTCTATTAGGGAATGAGGGGCTGTTTTTGCTCATCTTTGCCTGTATTAAGTACTATCAATCTTTGTAATTTTTGCTTATTTGGCAGATGAAAATGGCATCTTGTTTCGTTGATTGATGTTTCTTTAATTATTACTAAGATTGAGTGGCTTTCTTTATGCTTATTGGTTGTGTGGATTACTTTGAGTACTTTAGGTTTCTTTGTTTATTTTTCTTTTGGTTGGTAAGTATTTTTAATTTTTTT